GTGTGTGTGTGTGTGTGTGTGTGTGTGCACTGCCAGATGGCTGATCCACAACCCTCCTCCATCTCCAACATCCTGCTCACAACATCGTCATCAATCTAATAACTATTACTCAGAGCTCCTAACAAGCAAAAGTCCATTTCCACTCATAAGAGGATGCAGAGAATGAAAAGAAAAACGAGATGCTCTTCATACATGTGACTTTATACAGACAGATGTGTAATGTCTTTATTTTTTAAATTTCACTGATTGCCGTTAGTGGTGCAGAAATTACACACTGCACATTAAATGAACCATATTCTACAGATCTTAATTCAGTTTTTGATAAGCGCTGGTAATTCTATTCTATTGGTAACACTTTAGTATAGGAACCAATTCTCACTATTAGCTAGTTGATTATTAGCATGCCTATTATTAACATATTGGCTGTTTATTAGTACTTATAAAGCACATATATCATATTTTTATTGTTGTTTGTTATTGTTATCATATATTTATTTTACTTGTCATTACTTGTTTTGTGTATAATGCTTTGGCAATATTGTATATATACACAATCATGCTGATAAAGTATATCTTTAATAACATTAAGGACACACATTTTCATTCAAACTGTATTTTCTGGTTCAAACTGACAGAATGGTGTCATCCTTCCACTATAGTAATCTAGTGCTGTCATTTAAACTAATGTTAATAGTCTCTCTGTGGGAGCTGTGCAGTGAAATACACTAGATCCCCAATGGATCACTGGATTGACCAATCAGATAACAGGACTGAAACTATCTGTTTTATACATGGAATGTAAAAGTAAACTGCTGAAAAACCAAACATGCTTACCTCTATTTCTCTGATGTGTTTGATGAATGGAGGCAGAAATTCAGGCTCACTCAGCACCTCACTCACTAAGCATTTAAGCACATTAGCAGATTTCTAATCCCAAACTGGAGCAAATCTTTCATCAGCTTTTGTGCGCTGAGTCGGTTCCCCCGCGGCAGTGTTTGTGTGCTTTATCACCATCTTTCGTTCTGCCTCAAGGTCACACAGCTGCTGTTTAATTAGAGACGCTCAGAGCTGCTTCAGGAGCTGTCAGACGCGACCTGAGCGCAGACGTCTGCAGGACGTGCGGATTAGAGCAGACGTCAGTCATGCCACAAATCCTCAATCACATCACGAATACAGCCGTATTACAGGCCGTTTGCTTTACTGCTTCCTGCAGCGCCGTGCATCGGTCAGAATTGCATTGAGAATGACTTTTAAATTAAATGAATTCAAATTCACATTAATTCATAAGTCATTTTTTAACAACAAAAAAGAAGGATGTATTTAGTTCAAACTAGGGCTGCACGATAAATCAAAATGGAATCGAGATCGCGATTTAGGAGTTTATTGAGGCAATAGTCGTAATTAATGGTGAATTGGCGAGAATGGGAAATAAAGTGATTCTATTCTATTCTATTCTGTTCTATTTCACACAAAAAAATGAAAATTCAGTCATAATTTACTTACCCTCATGTCATTCTGAACCAGTGTTGTTATTGGCAAATTGAAACTATTAAACTATTAAAAAGTTTAATAGCATTTAAATGATCATTTTGCTACTATTTTTGCTTGGACATGTTACACATATCAAATCAATTTGGGTTATACATTTTCATTTTGCAGCTTATAAAGAGTTAAAATGTGTATGCAATTTACATATTAAGACTACTGTCGGAAATGGCAAATGTAAATTATATAATTTATAATTTTCATTTTCCTTTTGCACCAAACTTTGCACATATGGGTAATGGAAAATGTAAATTTAAATACAGAAATACAATGCCATTTTGAATATTGCATTTTAAATTGAATTTTGTTACCTATATGCTTCCATAGTTTTTATAGTACAATGACCTCTTATGTCAAAAGATCTAAGGAGATTTAGATTGCTCAGTTCATGACCCCTTTAAAGTCAAATAAAAAATGAAAACTGAAATATAAAAAGAAAAGCTAATAAAAAAATATGAATAAATACAGTAGTGCTAAATAACTGGTTGCTCCAAACCTGTGACTTTCTTTCTTCTTCCGAACACAAATTAAGATATTTTGAAAAAACTTACTGACTTTCACTGTATGGACAAAAAAAGACACTTATCAGAATATCTCCTTTTGTGTTCAGCAGAAGAAAAAGCAACATGAAAGTGAGTAAATAATGACAGAATGTTCTAATTTAAAGGGCATTGTTATTTATATTATATATTACAGTATTTTTAAAGTCTTGATAAATGTCTACCTTATACATATA